GACTCCCATTAGATTCAACAAAAACCAAGCATCAACAAGGCATATCATGGTAAAATTCACAAAATACTCAGGCAAGGAGAGAATCATGAAAGCAGCAAGGGAAAAAAAGTTCCTAACCTACAAGGGAAGACAGATCAGGTTTGCAGCAGACCTATCCACAGAAACTTGGCATGCCAGAAAGGAGTGGCAGGATATATTCAATGTGCTGAATCAGAAAAATAAAGTAATATTCCATTATACACACACACACACACACACACACACACCACTTCTTCTTTAACCACTTATCTAGCATCGAATACTTGGCATGTCTCTAGAGGCAAGGTAAACAGCAAAAATGGAACTACTGGGATTTTGTCAAGATAAAAATTTTCTCCACAGCAAAGGAACAATCAACAAAACTAAAAGGCAATCTGTGGAATGGGATAAGATATTTGCAAGCAATATATCTGATACAGGGTTAGTATTCAAAATCTATAATGAAGTTATCAAACTCAAAAAACAATTCAGCCATAAAAAAGAGTGAAATCTTGCCATGTGTAATAACAGAGATGGGGCTACAGTATAATGTAAGCAAAAGAAGTGAGAGAAAGAAAATACCATAGGTTTCACTCATATGTGGAATGTAAGAAATGAAACAAATGATCAAAGGATAAAAGAGAGACAGACTCTTAACTATAGAGAGCAAACCGATGGTTAGCACAGGGGAGATAGGTGGGGGCATGGGTGAAATAGGTGAAAGGGATTAAGAGTACATTTATCAGTTTTTAATCTCTTTTTTGTTTGTTTCACATTTGTATTTAAATTCCAGTCAGTTATCATATAGTGTAATAATACTTTCAGGAGCAGAACTTAGTAATTCATCACGAAATTACATACAACACCCAGTGCTCCTCACAAGTGTCCTCCTTTAGGAAGTATACTTACCATGATGAACCCTGAGTAATGTACACAATCGTTGAATCACTGTATTATACACCTGAAGCTAATATAACACTGTGTGTTAACTCTACTGGAATGAAAATTAAAACTCAATAAAAATGAAAAAAAGGTTAACATTTTAATGAGGTTGAAGAGAAAAAAAATGCTGAGAGTTTTGATGTTTAAGGAGTGTCTTCCAATCAAGAAGAATTAAAACTTGTAAAGTACGCAAGGACTTTTCAAAAGAGGTTTCCCTTTTCATTCAGTCTCGTATTTTACGTAAGTGAGAAGGCACGTAAAGAATGTCACCTTATGTTGCCAACACTAGGGAATGTTCTGAAAGTGCAATCAGGCCAAGAAGTTATATACAAAAGAAACCGCTTTTATTCTCTCAATGAGGATTCTAGAAGGAAAGCTTTTTGGGTTGCTCCGGGTTTTCGGAGAAAAGTTACAAAGTTGATTAACACAACAGCACCTGGATACAAAGCAATTATATACAAAGCAGTCTCTCCAGGTGCTCATTTTTTTTTTTTAATTTTTTTTTTCAACGTTTTTTATTTATTTTTGGGACAGAGAGAGACAGAGCATGAACGGGGGAGGGGCAGAGAGAGAGGGAGACACAGAATCGGAAACAGGCTCCAGGCTCTGAGCCATCAGTCCAGAGCCCGAGGCGGGGCTCGAACTCACGGACCGCGAGATCCTGACCTGGCTGAAGTCGGAGGTTTAACCGACTGCGCCACCCAGGCGCCCCAGCCAGGTGCTCATTTTTTATAATGTTTCTTTCTGATGGGGAGCAAGAGAGAGAATCCGCAGCAGGCTCCACAGTGTCAGAGCTAAGACACATTGGGGAAGGAGTGCAATTCACAAGGGAAGAGTTACGTTGCATTTTGCCTCCTGATCTTGGTGTATGTGTCCTCTTTGGCACAGATCCACTTTCTCTCCGTGTAGTGCCTAGCACTACTGGCACCGTTGTCATTCAAATAGGCACACTCGCCTCCTCCTCTGATAGGAAAACTGCAATGAAAAAGCAGAGTCGCTCAGTTGGCCGCCGGATAGTTCTTCACAAGCACAGGGAACACAGATGAGAAAATCAGGAAACTAACATTAATTCAGCCTCCAAAATATAAGGTGCATCGCCCCGTATTCTCTCTTCGATATTAAAGATTGCCCTGAGAGATACCGATCATCTCTTTTTACAGGCCGGGGGGGAAAACACACACACACACACACACACACACAACAAGCCAACATGCAAAATTCACAGAATTTCCCAGGATTCTATAACAAATGAAACGAGGATTCATAACTAAATCAGTGACAACACAGGGTCCATGCTATTCCCACCTTCTTCCCTTTGGGAAAGAGGAGACAGAATGCTTGTCTACTCAGCATTTAAGCAGCCTGGCTCAGACATCTGGGTCAGCATTTAGACTAGAAGTTTTTCCCCTGTACTGTTTGAAATTGCTCAGGGTGACATGATTTGCCTTTTGTTAAGACACGCTAGCCCTTAATAAATATATTTTTCACTTCTATGGTGATGAACCATTTTCAATGACTGAACAGTTAGCACTATATTTGCTCCTTAAACACTAGAGAATTAGATGAAGTAAACATTACCGTTTCACTATTATAAAGGGAGAAGTAAAGGTCAATCCTAAATATTCATCAAGCATCCACAATGGGCTAGGCACTGCAGATACAACAGTGTATAAGTATAAGCTCTAATTCCTAAAACTTAGTGTCTGTCCAAGATCAAAAAGCTAATAGGAGAGACTCTTAAAAACTGAGAACAAACTGAGGGTTGATGGGGGGTGGGAGGGAAGGGAGGGTAGGTGATGGGTATTGAGGAGGGCAC